ACAAATATGTGATTCTTTTCATAATGTCTTTTATCACCTCTATGCAGGTGACATTCAGCTGTACTGCACCTTTAAGGATTCTCAGTTCTATAAACTGTCTGAATTACTAGAGTGTCTTTCAGCTATCACCAGCTGGCTAGAAGATAACTTCTTCCAGTTAAACTTGAAAAGTCTGAATGTCTGATTATTGCCCCTGAGCATGGATCCTCTGATTATTCAACAACTTGGTCATTTATCTGGAGAAACCAGAAGAGCACACATCACTCCTAGTCTAATGTCTCTGCAGTGGTTACTCGTTAACTTTAGAGTTCATTTTAGAATCCTGCCTATAACGTTCAATGCTCTACATGGTCAAGCTCCTCCCTTTATTACTGAATTGTTAGCGCTTTATGCTCCAACCCGAGCCCTCAGGTCCACACACCAGAACCTTCTAGAAGTTCCAAACATCAGATATAAAAGTGGAGGTGATCGCTCCTTCCAGACTGTTGCATCCTGACTTTGGAATGATCTTCCTTTATCCTTATGCAGCATTGACAGTCTCCGGACTCCTTTAAAAAATAGCTAAAGACCCTTTTATTTAAAGCTGCTTTTACCTAAATCTTTTATTTTCTTATTTTTAATTAAAGTTTGTAATCATCTTTCATTTGTTTTATGGTATTTTAGAATTTGTTTACTTTATTTTTCTGGTTTGAATTTATTTCTGTTTTTGAGATCATTATGATTTTATGACTTTATGTTTATTTTGTTTTGATCTATGTGAAGCACTTTGTGATTTTCTGACTGTGGTAAGTGCTATATAAATAAAATTTACTTACTTTGTAAAATCTTGACCTGCAAACTAACTCAAATGGTAGTTTGGCTCTCTGCCACATTCAAAATAAAACAACAAACTACTAAATATAATATTAAACGTATTGTTTCACCCTGCAAAAGTGACAAAGATGCAAATCCAAAACTCAAATGTGTGAGATGCTTCTTGTTGACACAGGGCGGCGCTGTCCTTTGTTAAAAGCCAATTCAGGGGAATTTGAAAGAAAACTGAAACAAAATGTCTTTGATGTACAACACACGAGAACATTTGTGAATGTTGTTTTTCTAGCTGAGACGCTTAAAGGCAGACCAGGCCTTCCTCTTCTGCTTGACCCCGCCCACTCTGAGCCCACCTGCGCATATTTTATGCTAATGAGCAGGTGCAGCGGTTCTTGAGGCATGCAGCGGGCGCCTCGGTGCAAAGACGGATGGAGCAACGCGGGCAGCAGAGGGAGTGCAGCCGGACGCTCTTCACCAGGTGATGCTGTCCAAACCAGACTGACTGCGGATCACGAATGGATCCCGACTTTTTTAGGCGGACCTGGAAGAGGCCGTTTCACTTCTTAACTTTGTTTCTTATCCTAATTTATCAAGGTGAGTCTGTCACCTGCAGCTGGGAGAGGTGCGCGCGACTCTGAACGCGCTGCAGCCGGAGGAGGGAGCCTGGTTTAGGACGGTAGAAAATAATGAAGCAAATGACGTCAAACTAAGTTAGCGTTAAGGCTGCTTATTTAAAGTCCGTTATTTTTGTAAAGTTAATATTTTTACCTATTTATTTACATGATGACAATTGTGTTGAAATTTCTCTGATTTCAGTGCATCTTTCCTGGGGTGTTACAAGAGGAAACGCCTCCAACTGGGATGAATTTAATAAGTGAGTTACGATTTAGATTTAAACAGCACACATTTACATAATCTTGTTGAGATTTATGGATGAACATATTCATACTGTAATATTTATATTAATCACTATAAACAAAAAACACACCATTTTGACCTCTAATAATAACATAACCATGACTTTATTAGCTTATGTCTCAAATGTAAATATTTTATATTTTTGGTCACTTAATCTGAAAATGGAAAGCTGGTTAACGGACCACAGATTTAGTGCCGTAAGTATTTGGCTCACAGATATCTTTTTGGTCAATTTTCTTACTTAAATGCTTAATATCAACAAAACAATTATTAAAATCAGACTAAAACAAAGGAAAGTTTGAAATAATGCACTTTTCAAATGACGATGTTTTATATATAAGACAACCTGTGACCTCTAAACCCAACAAGCACAGTCTTAATCTGTTGGATGCAACTACAATAATATATTTATATCTACTCTTTAGAACTCTGTTGCTCCTCTTTAGGGTTTTCCAGCATGAATGGCCTGTTTAAGGTCAAAGGTCAGAGAGCAGAATTCATGATTCTGTCAATAACAGCAAATAGTCCGGGTCAGGAAGCAACAAAACCCGAACCGTCACTCTACCACCTCCACACATGGTGGCAGAGGAGTTCATACTCACCCAAAAGCCTCACTCAATTTGCCGCAGTAGTTCAGTCCTTGGGCAAGGCACTTCAGCAGCCTTGCCTGCTGCTGGTGATCAGAGGGACCAGTGGCACCAGTGCTCCGCAGCCTTACTCCTGTGCCCCAGGGCAGCTTTGACAATGATTTAGTTAATCACAACCTATATATGTATGTCGATGATCACAACCAGTGGGTGCATGCGTGTGTGAATGGGTGAATGACTGGTAGTGTTGGGAAGTACTCTAACCCTTAACCCTAACCCCAGTAGAGCCCTAGAAGGTGCTTTAAAAAGACAGACTACCATTTTTGACTGCTGGTATGATTGATTTCTGAAATTCGGATGTAACAAGAAACACGACCTCTGACCTTAACCTTAACCAAGCGGGTATGTGCTACTTTTGATGTTCTGTATTTTTTTGTTCCTAAATTTCTTTAGAAAAAGATGCAAAGTGCTGCTTTTTGAGATCCTTTAGTCTCCTTCATGTTGTCAGACGTGTTCAGTTGAAGTGAACAGGTCTGGTAATCAGGCCTGGTGTGGCTGGTGAGACTGAACTCAATAATGGAATTCATTCAAATTAATACATGATTTAACAAAGGGAGCAGTTACCATTCGTCAGAGTCCAGGTTGATGGATGATTTTCCCCCATAATATATGAAATCAGTCTGTAATAAGTGCCTTTTGTATTGACCCAAATGATACTTGTTTGAAACTGAAATGCATGGTGACAAAGTGCGACAAAAAAAGCAAAAACAGGAGAAGTAACTGGGCAAATATGTATTCATGGCAAAACAATTAGCTTTTTTTTTGGTTATTGGATGATGTGGATGGTTCCTGTGATGGTGGTGGGTTTGTGGTTTGGGGGGCCAGCAGCAGGAACAAACCTGTCCTTGTTCTCTGTGTCCCAGCAGCGGGAGCAGCAGCATAAAGCAGCAGAAATGGGACACCACTTCCCAAGCAGGGCAGGTAGGCAGCTGCATTGATCACTGATGCTGATGGAACTCACTCGGCCACATATCACTGAGAGATCAACAACACTCATCAGCAGATCCTCACAGAGCTGCTGCTGAGATGGACGGAAACGTGTTTGGTTTATGGCACACAGGCACGATTTCTTATAATCACTGAAGTTTTGTAGGCTTTTTGTAAAATTTCAACATAGATGCCAATCATTAGTCAGTAGAACTTTTATTTGAAATAAATTCAAGTCATGGAAAAATCCATAAAATGAGACCAGTGCTAAAGTGAAGTCATTCCACAGTGACATTTGTTCCTCAGCAGTGGACCTGTGAGGGGAGTCCCAGCAGGCATATTCAGTAGCTGCTCTGTTGTCTCACTCTTCCTCCATCTGAGCCACTATCTGCCTGAATGTGGTCGCCCTTTTGTCTGGCTTCCCTTTGGTCCGAGGAGACATGAGAGTTTGGTCCAAACTGTGGGAGCTCACAAATGAACAAAGCAATTAGTAGCAGCAACAGGTCACAGGCCAAAAAAGCTCATTTACCCCATGTGAGATCTTTCATATCGTGTTTGAGCTGCTCCGTTTACAGATCTCTGATAGTGATCAATGATTAATACTTTGTGTTGTATCTTCTTGCTGACCCTTTGCTATCTGCGTTGTCCATGCTCTCTGGGATGAAAGGCTGTTTTCCAGAGTTCAGATATCCATCAGGCTAAAAGTGTTGGGACATGGTGGTCTGGCAGTTTATCAACACAGCTTAAGAGGAGCATATTCCAATCAAATCTGCTCTTGCTTTGCATCATAATTTGTCAAATTGAAGCCACAATTGTTCACTTAACTCTCAAGAAGGATCACTGCAAAAGCTCATGGCCACCTGAATCAAAATATCTGGCAAGTCAATTCATTACTGCCAAAATCCCGCTGTTATAAATATCAAACAGAAACCACCACTTAACATTCATGCTGCAGAGAGAGGATAACCTGGATAAAATAAATATGAAGACATCATCATCGTTCCCCAGAGAGGCTTCACTTTGTCTTCCTTCCACTCGGAGGACTTTTTTTGCCCCCAAATTGGAAAATTGTAACAAGTACTACATTTTAATGTTTATTAAATTATCACTTTATAAATTGACTAATTTCTGATGTATGTTTGATTCCATATTAAATCTATGAATCAATAAAATAAGCTGCATTATAGAACTATAGTTTTGATTCATTTGATTAAGCTTGCCTTCAATTTTCACACACAAACACAAGATTCATCATAAAATATATTAAGGTATTTGGTTGCAGAGAGCTTTGGAACATATTCATTATTGCTGGTCATTTTTGAATGGTTGTAATTGTTGCAAAAATATCTGATGATTTAATCTCTCTCCCCAAAGGGTCTCCACACAACACCAACTTCTTTAGAAACAAACACTTCTGCCTCCAGTAAATCGATGCTCAGTAGGACCACTGTGTCTACCTTGACATCTGCCAAGGTGGAGAGGACACAGGGCGCCTCATGGACCCCCAGCAGTCACCAGTCATCTGCTATCACAGGGGAGTCTAGTCAAACCTCATCAAGATCAATGACTGCAAGCAAACAAATACAAACTGGAACATCACCAAGCAGCACAACTGTATTCAATCAGTCATTAACTGAGACTACACAATCAAGCCAATCCCAAACTGTCCCACCATCAGCTGTACAGTCGTCAACACCCAGCCAACTGCTGGCGAGCACAACTTCACTCAGCCAATCATCAACTGAGACTGCACAATTGAACCAATCACAACCTAACCCAGCTATCCAACCACTGACAACTGCAACATCAACCAGCCAATCAATGGACAGTACGGAACAAAGCAGCAAATCATTAAGCACCAAAACAATGACTAGTATTTTACCAAACAGTTCAACTTCATCTAGTCAGTCATCAACAAATATCATAAAACCTAGACACCTAGTCAGTTCAGAACCAGCCAGCGATCAGAGGACAACCACAGCATCAGTCAGCCAATCAGCTAAAAGCACAATAAAAAAGAGCCAACCAGCAACTTCCATAGAACCGTCTGAGATGTTGTCAACCACGCAAACAGTTACTAGCCAATCGTTAATCGCTGCTTCAACAACCACCCAAACATCTAGCGTCACAGGAAGCAGCCAACTACAATACAGGGAAAAAATAACATCAGACGACAAAACACTACCCAGCCAATCACCAAACAAGGGAACTACAATGAGCCAATCAGCAACAACCACAGAATCAACGATCTTACCAACTGGCATAATAGTACATACCAGTGCATTTTCTACTTCTGTCAAATCATCAGGCCAGTCGTTAGCCACTCAACAGACTTCCAGCTCACCAACAGCTACTGTTACAACAGCTGGGCAAACATTCAACATCACAGAAAGTAAGCAACTATCACAAAGACAAAACACAACTAGCCAAACACCTGACAGCATAGCACCATCCAGACAACCACCAAAAAAAGCAACAGCATTTAGCCAAACATCAATATTCACAAGGTCAATCAGTCCATCAACAGGAAGAACACAGCAAACCAAAACATCAGTAACTTCCGCTAAAACATCAAGTCAGTGGTCAACTGAGAAAACAATATCTAGCCAGTCACCAGCCACCGTTGCAACAGACAGCTTACTACCTGGCATCACAGAAAGTAGCCAACTGTTAAACAGCAAAACAACATCTAGCCAAACAGCCAATGACATAACACCATCCAGCCAATCACCAAACAAGAGAGACGCATTTAGCCAATCACCAACAACTGTTGCATCAATCGATTCATCAACAAGCAGGACAAGGCACTCCAGCAAATCTGCAACTACACCTGAAGCATTAGAGCCTTCATCAGCCACTATTTCTTCAGCAAACCAAGAAATGGTTATCAAAACACCACCTACAACAAACAGCACCACAACAACAGGACAAATGCCAACAACAGCGTCAGCCAGCAGATCACTGCATACAACACAGACCAGCCAGTCTCAGACAACCACGGCTCCATATACTCAGCCATCGACAGCTGCAATAATATCCCAGTCATCTGGAAGTACAACTCTACCCAGGACAACAGATTATAAACAAAACTCAGCAACAACAACCACTAAACCAGTCAGCCCATCCACTGAAATGGAATCAATTCAACATGCCAAAAAGACAAATCCTCTTAGACAATCACAAAAGACAGCAGGGTCAGACATAAAATCATCAGGCAGTTCCTCAATAGCAAATCAAACTCCTCCTACCAAAGGACCAGCCAAAAAGTCTGCATCCAAAAAGCCAACAACTAGCTTATCACCAACAATCTCAACAAGAACAGCGCAGTCTTTTACAAATACGAAACATGGCGGTCTGTCATCAGCCAGCAAGGAACCAGTCAAGACCTTCTATGAACATTCAAGGGAAAGTTCAACAAATACAAGCCAGCTGTCATCCAGTCAAAAATCACTGAGCCAATCATCAAGTGCTTCAAAGACTTCAAGCCCCTCCTCATCCACTACTGCATTTTCTGATCCCTCACCAAGTACTTCTATAACACCTGATCATTCAACGACCTCACAGGACACATCACACAGCCCGGGATCCAGTAACCAATCACTGCCAAAGTTGGTAACCAAAAGCCAATCAGTGAGCAGCTCATTAGCACCACAGCCATCAGCATCTACTTCAACAACATCAGGAAATTCAGTCACTGAAGTCTTTTCATTGGAGGATCGCCCACTGAACGTTTCACTTCTCACCAGACAGGCCAAGGAAGCCCTTAAGTCACTGAAACGGCGAAATCCAGGTGAGGATTTTTAAAGGATACCCCTAAAGGATTTTTTGAGCTTTTCCAACAGGGTCATAGTTCTATTTACAAGCTCAAATACAAACATCTCAAGTCAAACTTGGTTAAAGGTGTAAGTTGGTTAAATGTCAATAAGCTACTGGTATAATTCTGGTTTTCTTATGGCATTAGGTGGAGTTCATTTAAACTGGTTAGTTTTCTGACAAACTTATCTTTTCAGCACCATACATTTATGTTGTTTACATTCTTGTCCAGTTAAAATATATTATAGAACCTTGAGCACGTTTTAAAGCAATACATATTTAGATAAATGCATATTTGAGGCTACATTTTTATAATTGTGTTGAGAGTGAATGACTGGTTTTGTTGTAAAGTGCCTTGGGGGGTTGTAGAAATGTAGAAGTTGGTATATCAAATACAAGCTATTTACCATTTACCGGTATTAATTTTACAATATAATATTACTACTACTACTACCACTACTACTCACTGTGTGAATCTGTCATGTAAAATGAACCGGTTATAAGAAGATACATTTAAGGCTTTCCTGTCTAATTATCAGCACTTTAATGAATTCATTCATTTGTTCCTCTCAGGGGCGCCGTGTCAGTCTCCCTGCCTGAATGGAGGACAGTGTGTTGGAGAGGAGTCATGTGAATGCAGCTTGTTTCAGGCTACTGGACATAGATGTCAGACAGGTGAACTCTGACGACTCGCCTCTTAAACAGTCTTCTTATCAAGATCCCTATCAGTCAGACCTTAAATACAACTTTATATTTGTAATGTTCCCAGTTCCAAATCCTGGTTTTGAGAGGGAGATGGCCTGTAGGACATGGGGTCAGTACAACTTTGAGACCTTTGATGGCCTCTACTTCTACTTCCCTGGACGCTGCACCTATACATTACTGAGGGACTGTGAGGAAACCACCCAGGCCAGCATCGTGGTCCAGGTTAGGCCAGACACAATTAATCTTTCTGACTCCGAGCTGCCTGGGAGATGCTGGTTTGATGCCACCACAGCCTGCTTCCAGTTGAGAAAAGTTTAGACTTGATGGGAATCTGAGAGTTTCACTTTTAAGCCCGAGGATAAGATTTGTTCTTAATAAGAGTAAAATGGTCATTAGAGTCAATTACCTCTAAATACTGCAATTGCTGCCCTTTCATTGAGCCTGCAACAGAAGGGGACTTTGTTCTGGTGAAATGTGAGGAGATTCTGTAGCTTTGTATTGAACCAAAACAAACTGTATGAATTATTATTATTATTGTTTAATAATAGCAGACCTTAATCTAAACCTTGACGTACTGGTGGAAGTTCAGATCTTCTTTAATGGCCAGCTGGATGAAATGATGTTTATCTGCTTTCAGGATTAAATTTCAGTTAAAAAAGTGCTTCAGTGCTTCAGATCAGAATATTTGATTTCAGATGTCCAAGTAAGCTTTTAAATGCTTTTAGGTCTAAATGATTTGGACAGCGAAGTAAAGGCTGCAGGTTTGTTACATCTATCCATTTATGACCTTTTATAAATGGTTCACATACATTTATTTAATCCCCCTGATTGAAGTAACACCATAGCACTGTGTGTGCTATTTGGGCAGAACTGAACAAAAAAGAACATACAACATTAGATTCCCCAGTAAAATTATATTTTATAGTTAACTTGATTAATGGCCAGAAAGACACAAATATTAACTGTAACACATTCTGCTGCTACAGTGTTTTTTCTATCTTTTTGTGAAATTTGCTTTTGATTAGGACTGTATTTTCATGTGTGCAACATGTAGGTTACTTGATGTTTTTCCTGGATCCTAATGTTTACAGGTCCATAATGACCCAAGCTGCAGCTCTGCTCCCTACAGCTGCCAGCGGTCCGTCAGCATCTTCCTGCCATGGGAGGGCGAGATACAACTGCATGCCACTAGTGTTGCCTTCAAAGGCCGAAGGTTAGTGGTTTACCAATGCGCCACATGTTTTATATTCACAAGTAAAAACATGATAGCCATTCGATGGTGGTCTTGTCTGCGTGTTTAGATTGCAGCTGCCTCATCACATACATGACGTGAAGCTGGAGCAGATCTCCCAGTACGTTCTGGTGACTCAGCAGCAGGGCTTCACGCTGGCCTGGGAGGGACACAGCGGCTCTGTCTACATCAAGCTCAGCCCAGAGTTTGTGGGGAGAACCTGTGGATTGTGTGGCAACTTCAACGCAGATGTTCAGGACGACCTGAGGACGAGCTATGGTGAGATCTGTTTTCCTTAGACAGCTGGAAACCAGCTCATGGATCATACTAAACCTGCAACCTCTGTGATTAAATATGAGCAAAATTCATTCTTATGTGGTATTTGGATGCAGAAAAACAAAAATACATTATTTATCAAAATGTTACTTTTCTATTGCTTTTGCATCTTGAGGATACTCCAGAATCCATAAAGTTGCATGCTTTAAAGAACTCTGTTAGGGTTTTCTAAATTAATTAGATTCAGATATCACTTTGGCTCATTTTGATTGCACTTTTGCAGAATCTGCAAAACATCTGAACTATATTTTGACATCATTACACCTTTTACAGTAGTTTTAATATTTTTAGCTGTAGCTTGACATTTTGCTGATCTTCCAGGTGTGCTGAGTCACGATATAGAGATGTTTGGAAACAGCTGGATGGAGATGGAGCCTCATCAGGACAGATGTTCTGCTGTCCCCTCTGGTTTCGCCTCACCTTGCACTCATGTTGGTGCTCAACTCCTTCAGGTAAGAGATAAAAGCAACAACACATGGAACAATACTCGAACTAGATAAATTGCATTTGTTGCAGAAATGCTGTTTGAATGCTGGATACTGAAACTGGTAGCTGAAGCTGCTAAATTGCTGAACTAAAGCTGAAACTAAGCTAAATTGTTAAAATGAGCTGAATGTATTTGAAGATTTGGAAGCAAAAATCACTAATAAGCTGAAATGTGTAAACAGCTGGTATTTGAGTAGGAATAGTTTAGCAGCATGTGCTTAACAGCATTCAAACAATAAAGGTACTTGTGGGACATTCGAGAGTGAGAGTGATGGGTGAGTGACGGATGAATAAAGGGTGGAAAAACTCTTTCCTTCCTTCCTTCTGGCCGGAACTGACAATCCTTATGTTTGGGGCTGGTTTTTGTCTGAGTCATACAAAAATGGTAAAAGTTATCCAGAAGTGGAGTCACAGGGAAGTAGCTGAATGTCTTGTGACCGCTTTAAATTTTGAAGTCTCTAGGTTGACGAATGCCACAATAGTTAGAGTTCAAACGGCTGAAAAGTTTTTGTGAAAAATCTGAGAATTTGAAGTTTTCTCATGTATTTCAATGGAACAAAAAATGGCAGAAAAAGATGGATGTCTCAGAAAGTTTAAAAGATTTCAGTAGCAAACGCTCGCGAATGCTGAATGAACTGAACGTTTTGATACCAAATTGGCTGTAATAACTGAAGAATTGCGGAAGCAGTAAAGTGGCAAACAACGTACTGAGGCTGAAACCGGAAAACAATTGTTTGAATGCTTAACAGCGTAGCAAGATTCAGACCGTTTGAAACAAATGCTGTTGTGTGTTTTCTGGCGGCAGACAGTGGAGGAGGAGTGTGCAAAGCTGCTGGAGTCGCCTTTTCAGAGCTGCCATGACTTTGTGAGCCCGCTGTCCTTCATGGCCAGCTGCTTCAATGACCTCTGCATGTAAGAATAAGTGATCAACATCTAACTTCATTTTGTCCTAATGGGCAGACAGGATGTGTGTCAAATCAAAGTTCTGATGTACTGTGAACCACACAACTGTAATAATAACCCTTTTTAAGATTATGACACTTTGAGCACAGAGCTTTGTTTAAAGGTATTATGAGGAGGTTTGTAGCAAATGGGACATTTCTAATTTGTGGAAATGTAACTACAAGAGTTTTTACAAATTTCTAAAATGCTCTGTGAATAACATGTTTCACAGTCTCAATATTTATTTGTGTCCAAGTTCTACACATTTGCCAGCTAAAACCCTTTATTTGCCGCCCTGCTGGCTCAGTGGATTGTTGTTTTTCTGTGCGCTACGTAGTTGGTTCAGTCCAGTGAACCAGGCTGTGTAACCACTCTTCCCCATGCTCCGCTCGACAAGTCCTTTTCTGCCTTTTCACTCTGTTGAAGGTCGGGTCCCAGCGGCGATGTGGTATGCCAGGTGTTCAGTGAGTACGCCCGAGCCTGTGCCCACTCTGACCACCCGCTGCACAACTGGAGGCAGTACATTCCTCAGTGTGGTACGCTCTTTCAGCTGATTCAAACCTCATGCTGCCAAATGCAACAAATTTCATTATATTCATTAAATTTTTGTTTCATGCATAAAATATGGTCCTCTGTCAGTCATGTTGGAGCATCTATGTTATTGATTTACCTGTCAAAACTATCCAGATTTACACCTAAACATTATTTTCAGTCAAGGTTGAACATTTTTGTGTTTTACTTTTTGTGACCAGTGAAGCAATGTCCTCTGGGGCTGCAGTACAGAGAATGCATCAGCTGCTGTCCAGAATCCTGCAACCTGGAGCAAACATGCATCGACAGCAAGCTGGCCTGCCTGGATGGATGCTACTGTCCAGATGGTGAGTTCTAGCCAAGAAATCGTGACAAACCGTAGCAGAAGGTCAAGCCATTGTAGCCTCAGCAGGTCTGCCTTTGGTCAGAAAAGTTTTGTTTCTTGCCAATCACAACAGTCTACATTTGTTAGGTGGGTTTAGCACCAGAGCTCCAACTGAGAAAACTACAAAGGTAGCATGGACTCAGGAAGGGTGCTCATTTGAAACGGCTTTGGCATCAACTTTGAACGATTTAGACTTGGTTTTATCTTCGAAACAAGAGCAGATAGAGGTACTTAAGTAATTCATTTTGTTTTTGTTCTGTCTGACATCTGTAGTGATGAACACATAATGTTGTTCATTGCTCTGATTGGTCCTAGCACTGTCTAACTGAGCAGAGACAGTTTTAGAGATGACCGTATTTTTCGCCTCATGACTGGGTGGTTTTAATGGCTCATGGTCAGACTATGTTTGCTTAGGCTACATAGGCTGGCTTGGCAGGCTAGATGTCTTCATATTCAGGTTAGTTATTACAGGTAGACAACTAAAAGTATACTGTATACTGTATTCTATTCAAGGTTTGGTTTGTTTTACCTTCACATAGACCATCTTAAACAATCACTGCAAATAATGAGCTGTCTTTCTCGTAGACTTGCAGAATGTCTTCATTTATCTTTTTTCACAAAATGTCTTGTTTAAATTAAGTTTAATTTGATTCACCAGGATGTTTAGAGATTAGATGTTTTTTTATGATTCCTAAACAGAACTGGTGTGGAACATCGACATATGAAAATATGGACATTGCTCTGCCAGGGGGCAGGTTGAAGCCAAAAACGGGAGGTTCCACCACTGATTTTTTTTGACCAAGTCCACGCCCAGACAATCCAAAAATGGGAAGATAGGTGGAGCTGAGAATGGGGCAGTTACGTTTGGAACAGGGTTGGAGCAAATGAACCCAATCTAGCTACTAGATAACTTAGCTAACCCAAAAGATAAGCATGGCACCGGGGACCACGGGTAACCGCACAGCCGACCTGCTTCAGTGTGAGGCTGTAGTCATGCTGGTAACCTGTGGGGATCTAAAGCCGGGCGTACACTGTGCGACTTTTTCACTTTTTTGAGCCGATTTTCCAGTCGTGCGAGAAGCCACGACATCGGGGCGAGTTTTGCGCCGAGCGGTCGTGTAGTGTACAGGGGGTTACGAGAGGCGATTAACACCACGTGACCAGCCGCCGATCAGCAGTCGTGAGGTCGCAGGGACTTCTGGTGTGTTTAATATTTCGCTCGTCCCTCGTGAGGGTATCGCACTGTTGAAGCGGCGCTGCGAGCAACTGTGAGCAACTGCGAGCAACTGCGAGCAGCTACGATCCAAAAAGAATCAGAACCGCTCACGGCGCATGCACGCGCAATCCTGCATCAACGCCGGCCGGTCGCTCGCTATTTCCCTAATAACACACGTTGTTCGTTTTTGTTTCTACACGTTTTTTTTACCCACAAATATTGTCAAGAAAGCGTGTTTGTCATGTTCATGTCAAATTAAACTGATCACAAAACACAGATTCACTTTCTTTATTTCGTTTTCCTCATCCAACCCCCATAAATCTCTATGTGTCCTCCTGCAGCACTCCCGAAGGACAACAGGCAAAACAAAAAAGTCTGACGTGTTGAGTAAAAACTGCTATTTTTAGCACATTTTTAGGGCCGACGTGTTGCTACCAGACGTACAGTGTGAGCAGTCAGGTCGCATGCGAGAACTGGGTCGTACAGTGTGAGCACACGACTCGTGAGATCTGCTCTGCGAGGAAGTCGTACAGTTTGAGCTGAAGCTGAACGCTGCGAGTGAAAAAGTCGCACAGTGTATGCCCGGCTTAATATGGACCAGGACTGTGAAATTCCAACAGAGCTAGAGTGCCGCGACTGGGAACCCTGGCCTTACAAATCAGCTCAAATTCTCCACTGTTGGAGATCAGCGGGATATTAGCTACATGCTAACCCAAAGCTAACAGAGTTTTTCCAGGCATTTTTAGCAAGAAAGACGCGGTAGAACGACTCCAACATGAAGGCACCTCTGGCCTGCTCAGTAACAAAATCAAAACTTGGTAAGCTGACCGAGGATATTGGGCTTGGGGCTTTACCCAGCTAGTAGCAGGGACCTCGATCACTAGGCTGTCCACGTCAGAGCCGGGCGAAGCCGGGGCCAAACGGAAAAGCATGGGGTCCTGCTGCAAAACTGCAGCGTCTCCCAGGAGATGTTGTAGGAGCTTCACGCGCCGTTCGAGCGTGGGACGGCGGAGTCGGCGACAGAACTTGCACGCCTCCGGGTCCACAAGCGCTCTTCTGGCGTGGAGAATTCCCAGGCACACCGGGCATGCTTCGTGCAGGTCTTTCTCTTGAAGAGAGAATCCACAGCCCTGGGGACATGGGCGCGAAGCGGCTTTCCGTGAAGCGACGTCTGATACGATGCTCATTGCGAGACACACAGCGGAGCGAAATTGGAGAAGCTGAAGAGCCAAAAAAGATAGCGCTCAGTGGGCGGGAATGCTAGCCAGAAGGCAGTAGAGCGAGCGGTTAAGCTATTTTTCAGTAATGCAGCAAGTTGTCAGATGTGTTCTCAGCAAGGTGACGAGCGTAAGAACTGAGTAATGATGACAGTGACGCGGGTGCTTATAAGTAAAGGGTGGGGCCTCGATGCAGCGTCACTTTCATTTGCCTTACAGGCGTGATTAAATGTGTCTTCAGCCAGGCCACACGAGGGCGTGATGTCCCACAGTACCTTCGTTGTACCGAGTGAATCGACTGAAGGGAACTCAGCATGGTGTCTGTTTCCCCAGGTCTAATTTACGAGGATGGAGGCTGTGTGATGCCTGCTGACTGTCCCTGTGAGTACCACGGCATGTTTTATCCATCTGGACAAATGCTGCAGGAAGAATGCAACAACTGGTGAGTTATTTTTACAGCTTTTCTTTCATCTGCTGTGTGTTCGAACCAAGACTGCACCGATTCTTCAGCTGGTTCTTCGCTCATCAAGGCTTGTTGGCCGAAATCCCTAAAGTTATTGTGTGTCTGAGAGAGGAAAGGATTTACCAAAGAGAAGCAAAAAGTGTAAAAATAACTTTGCTTTTCACAAGGCAGCAAGAGAATCTAATCCAACCGGATGAAGTAGTTTGTGAGTGCAGATTTGCACAATTTGTACAGAGGAAAAAGTCAGAAAACATGTAATTTTCCATGTTTTATAGATGATTATCCCACCTACTTCATATTGAGCTACCCCTCCACCCCCTACACACACACACACACACACACACACACACACACACACACACACACACACACACACACACACACACACACACACACACACACACACACACACACACACACACACACACACACACACACTTGAACACACACACCAGCATATAAAGAACCCAGATATGTTCCTGCCGATTTGATGCAGTCCCTTTAATTTCCTCAGATCTGTCCACCTGGGCTCGGTGAGTCCAGGATCTGTCAGTGATGCTGCTATTAGCTCAGCCTTTCATGTTTCCAGAACCACCTGTGGACGCCTCTGCTTTCTGTTTCAGCACATGTGTGGGTGGAGTGTGGAACTGCACTGAGTACAGCTGCCCAGGTTTGTGCTTTTTCTCTGTGAGATATCACATTTTGACTCCCATCTGGAAATCTCTAAATGCTGTTGGATCCAAACAGAATCAGATTTAAATGTCACTAACTTACTGGATTTAGCGCTGCAGCAGCTGCAAACGGTGGAAGGATTTTTAATAGGGTCAAATCTATAAAAGGTACATTTTCTTTTCCAGTAAATAAGTAATAAACGGGGAACAATGGTTCTTAGTTTGGCTGAAGGTTTTATTTTGAAGTGTTTTTTTTTCAGTTTGGGGCTACAGATGAAGTATTAGAGGCAAATGGGCTTGATAGACATTAGACGAAAGGATGGATAATCAATTGGCCAGAAATACACAAATATAATCTACTCTAGTAGCTGGGAAAAAATCTGTAAATAAATCAGGACATAAAGGCTTGGGCAGCTGGTCAAAAGGGGGATATTTACTATTTCAAACGTATTTTTTAGATAATTTTATATCTTTCACAGACATTCTCAACTTTTTACATTTATTTTTTTTTTTTATTAAGAATAAAAGTCATTTGATCATCAAACTCACCAAAAATAAAGAAATGATAAATGTTGGCCACACGTGAGGATTTTATAGTAAAACTCTCATGGATATGATTTACATTTTAAAGCTTGAGCCCCGTAAAGTTTCATTATGTCACATTAGAAGTAAAATGGAGTTACTGGTATTGGTAGAAGATGTTGTCACAAATCCTCTGTGCCATGAGCTTGGGCGTGCTTGCACTTTGCAACATCACTACTAAATGTCACTAAACGTTGCATAACATTCCAGTTCAGTAACAGAGTCCCTAGAATGAAGAACACAAACATTCAGTGAGGAAAACAGATTGTTTCTAAACGTTTTGTTGAATTGGTGAGACGTGTGTTTCCTCATAGGCGAGTGCTCGGTGACAGGTGATATGTATTTCCAGTCCTTTGATGGAAGGATCTTCACCTTTCCTGCTACGTGTCAGTACGTCCTCGCCAAAAGTCGCAGCTCGGGGAAATTCACCGTCACCATCCAGAATGCCCCCTGTGGAACTGTGAGTTACTCCTAACACGTTGTTTCTTTATGTCCTGTCACGTTAGCTGCAGGAGTCAAACTGTTGGGTTGGCTTGGGTTACAGGTTCCTGCAATTTGTCTTTCATGTAGATGATATCAAAATTTAAGTGTTCAATAATCCCCGCTGAGTCCAGGTGGATTTTGTTCAGCGGTAAGAGCAGATAATGAACAAAAAGTGACAAAAGACTGAAGGCTTCTTCTTCTCTCCACCTGCCATCAGTTTCCCAGCCAGGACGGAGGTTGGAGGGGGGGGGGGGTTATAAGATGTCCCACTCATCAGAGCAGAGGCCTGAGACCTCTAGCAGCCAACTGAGCAGGATTACCTTATCTGGCCTGACTGACAGAGCTGTTGGGTGGCTTTGTAGTCAGCACGGAGGTGGGGGGGCCTGGACAGAGAGAAGGTTATACAGAAAAAAGGAGGTGAATGATGGGAAGAGAAGGAGATGTGGGAAGTGTGTGCTAAAACCTTTCGGCTGTGGGAGTCTGCCACTCATGAAAGAAACGATTCATAGAGGCAGATCGGTAGCTGTCAGCAACGGCCAGGACTGTTTGGGTTTAAGATCAGAGCAGTGATGAAGCCAAAGTCCGTCAGTGTGTGAGTAAATATTCACACTGGATTCTCATTCATCCTTGCCTGGCAAACCATCCTAAATATGTAAATATATATTCTGGCCACGGTCCATTCATGGCTCTCAGTCATGGGGTGGGATCTATGGTTGTCTTTCAAACGGTCTCTGCATGCTTTTGGATAACAAACAACGTGACATACTCACCGCTACGGTTGTTTAAAGGATGGGTAGTTTACATCTTACTTATGAACCATAAAATGTGAGATTCCATAGAAATATGAAATATCAATCTGATGGATCTTTCAATATTTTAACCAGAAGATCAGAACTTTTTATTGCAGGGATTACTTGACACTTCGCATTAACTCCAAGGAAAGAAAGAGAGTCAGGTTTATAATAGTTAAGGAATTTATTTCTACACAATTTAAACAAGACTAACTTTAACACCCTGTGTACTGATGAACTAAGGTGGAGTAAGACGTGAGATGATGGTGTGTGTGGAATGTTGTTATCAGAACCAGCGGATCCAGAGATGCGTTTAGTTCTGAGTGGGAGTGAATGTTTCACTCTAAACTTTAGTTGGAGATTAATAACACACATGAAATGCCATCCGTCGGTCTATGTACCCCAGGGGAAGCCTCCATTTAGATCCAGAATACCAAGGTCCTCATGAACCCTTCTTGGAACCAAATCTGGTAGAGAAGCAGCGGTGCCTACCAAACTAGTCTTGGAATGCTTCCAGGTCACGACAGGTTCATTGGCGTCAGCGAGACCATGAAGGGGTCATGAGGTTCAGCTTTTATTCTGAAGGAACCGTTGCGGTCAGGTGTAACTTGGAACAGATTTTATCCAGCTTGCCGAGGTTCTTTTTGGCTGAACAGGAAGTCCGGATGGCCTGTCCGAGACTTCTCTAGAACGCTTTGAACTAAAGAAAAGGTGGCGTGGAATAGTTTTTATAATTGTCATATTTTGGTTTATTGGAGAATCAGAATTTGACATGCAAAAGAGGGTTTATACAAACACCACAGAAAACCACACCTTGTGTCAGAAACGAAGGTTTTGATTGGATCAGACAAAAGGAAATGTGTCGTGTGGCTTAAGCATTACGTGTCATTAGTGTCTAGTGCAAATATCCAAGATTATAATAACTTGTAAAATACTACTGATCACAGGATTATAATGTCAAGTAATAACATTGTCATTTCACAGATTGATTGAACATTGGGCTCACATTATTATTGGTAATAATAAAGTTGTTTGATTATGTATTTATCAAAAGAGTTCTTCATCTTTGCCTTGAGCTGTAACAGAGGTGAAGCAGTTCAGATGCAGAGGGCATGAAAGACTTTGGCCAATATCTCATGTAGATTAGGCCTGTGTCAGAGACTTTATGTCTCTGCTCGAGCAGACGCAGCAGAGCATGACCTTTAGGTCAAAAACAGGACATTCATGACGCTGCAGCTGCCAGTCAACGAGGCAGTTCACCATACTTTGATAAAGAAGATGCAAATACATCCTTTTTCTAAATAAACTTAAGTACCTCTATGTGCTCTTAAGTCAGAGAAAGCCCAGGTCAAAACAGGCCAAAGCTGATGCCAAAACTGTTTTCAAACGAGCCGTCGCCATTTTTGTTTCTGTAAGAGAGAGTGGTGAAGAAGGTCATACAAAAGCCAGCCTGAACAAGTGAGTCTTCAGCTGTTTTTTAAAGGAGACCACTGAGTCCACTGATCTCAGGCTCAGGGGGAGAGAGTTCCAGAGTCTGGGGGCCACAGCAGCAAATGATCTGTCACCTTTGGTCTTTAGCCTGGTGCTGCACAACCAGTAGGCTTTGATCACTGGACCTCAGGGACCTGCTGGGGGTGTAGGGACTAAGAAGATCACCAATGTAAGATGGTGCTTGTCCATGTAAGGCCCTATAGACCAGAACCAGGATCTTGAAATGAACCCTGAAGTTGACTGGCAGCCAATGAAGCTGGGGGAGAAGTGGGGTGATGTAGGTGTGTTTGGAGGACTTGGTCAGAAGCCGAGCACAGGCATTCTGAACCACCTGTAGACGGTTCAGGGAGGTTCTGCTCAGACACGTGAAAAGAGAGTTACAGTAGTCTAAGCGTGAGGAGATGAAGGTGTGGATAACAGTCTCAGGTTCAGAGCGGGACAGAATGGGACTCAGCTTAGCAATGTTCCTGAGATGGAAGAAGGAAGAGCAAACAAGAGAACTGACATGTGAATCCAGGGTGAGAGCTGGGTCAAAGGTCACGCCAAGATTCCTGACGGAGGGTTTGATGTGAGAAGCAATCTGACCAAGAGAGTCTCTGACTTTGGGAACCAGCTTGTCTGGGACACAGATGAGGATCTCAGTCTTATTTTCATTCAGCTGAAGAAAGCTCCCAGCCATCCAGGTTTTAATAGATTCTAAGCAGGTGTGTAACAGCTGCAGCTTAGACATCTCATGGGGCTTAAAGGAGATGTACAGTTGGATGTCATCTGCATAAAGATGGTAGGAAATTTCTTTGAAGGAGCTCAGGATGTGCTGAAGAGGAAGCAGATAGAAGAGGAAGAGCAGAGGCCCCAGCACAGAAACTTGTGGGACACCATGGGTAAGAGAGGTGGTGGAGGACCTAAACTTGGAGACGGTCACAGAGAAGGAACGCTCAGAAAGGTAAGAGGAGAACCACTCCAGAGCAGTTCCTGATAGGCCTACCCAGTCTCTCAGCCTCTCCAGTAGCAGGTGATGGTCAACAGTGTCAAAGGCTGCAGTCAGGTCCAGCAGGACCAGAGCAGAACAGTTCCCTGCATCACTGTGAGTCAGAAGGCCATTAGACCAGGAAGTAGGGTTCACTGCAGGAATGGGCTGATCGAGAAAAGCCCCAAACCCAACTGATGATTGGTTTAAATTTGTCAAGCATAGTGACTCCAACTATCCATGCAGGGTCCTGGTGAGAGCTTCAGAGGAGGCAAAACCAGTGATGAACCTCATTGTGGTTCTCTACTGGAAAAGAAAATATGATTGTAAATGGAATCCATTCAGACTCTGTGGGTTATTGTTGGTTTTAGTATCAGGAAGCAGCTTAGTAGATGCACAGAGAAAGAACTGGTCATATTGGGAATATGGTAATGATGAAACACAGCCAGTGGTTAAACAACTGAATGCTAAAATGATTCTACTTCAGCCGCCACATTGAAGCAGCTACTTTGTGACTCTGAGTTGTACAAAACCACGATTATTTCTTTAATTGTCTTATCATCGTGCTGTTTGTGTGTCTGAACTGCTGTTTGAGGAAAATGGTCTCATTTGCAGAATCTGGATGGGGCCTGCATCCAATCAGTTAACCTGGTGATTGATGAAGATCCAAAAACAGAGATCACACTGAGTCACGTCGGCGAGGTCTTCATGGCAGGACATTACCGCATCTCGCTGCCCTACTCTGATGGTACCAGTCTCCTCTTTCATCACACTCCATCAC